TCATGTGTGTGCACGTGTCGACATCTGTCCTGCGTACACGTGCACGAGGCTTTGCGTACACAACTCCCCACAAGCTGGTCTACAACAGTTCGACATAGCAGTATATAACATACCTTCCCACATTACGTGTACACTATGGATTTATTGCGATGTTCCACTTTTCGTCGTACGGTAATGATAATGTGTCATATATATATATATATATATATGTGTATAGATAGATGGGTGTGTATACACATAATTGCACGTCGCATGATATATTGTAACGTGATGCCGTAAGCCTTAACCGACGAGCCCGCGACCACAAACCCCGAACAGTTTAACCCGAGTAGCAAGCTCGGCTGGGCAGGCCCGCGCGCAGTCGAATCTTCCGCCTTTTCCACCGGAGGGGCCTCAGGCCCGTTTGGCGTGGGCCACTACTGAGCCTTGAATTCGTGTTAGTCTGGTGAGTGGCGAAAGGCATGCACCCATCCAGCGGCACAGGTTCTGTTCAAAGGGATCGAGTTGAACGTGCTTCGGGAGGCCCGTGGGTGAACACATGCCATGTCGAAGGTGTGTTGCAGCTACGTTGGCCGTGCAGCAGCACACACATCGCGGAGGTCGTGCGCTCTTCCGTCGCTTGTTGTAGCTTCGTTCTATAGGCGATATTTCAGGACCCTGAGCTGGATAGTATCGAATCATTGGCCGGCCGCAGGCACCGAATGCTGGTTTCTTGATGGCGGGCTTCAACTACTTCACTCGATGGGCAGCAGCTCGGCAGCAGCACACGCGTTGCAGGACAGCCTAAGCTGGCAGAAAAGCTTGAACTCATCCGACGGCGCACGTTTTTCAAGCACCTGTCAGAGAGCGTTACTTTCTACCCGGAGCCTAGGTGGGTCTTCCTTTCGTGAATGGAAATGATCCGAATCTCAAGTTTATGTTGATGATCCCTTCAGGCTGGGCCTAAACAGTCCGGCCCATGTGCTTTCCAGTCTTCAGGATTTCCCAATCAAGGGTAGAGTGCGTGTGGCAGAGGAGTTGTGGCGATGTGCACGGGCGCATTTGCCAAGACACCGGTCATTGACATCAGCAAGCAGGCTTGGAAGCACGAATGCTTGGGTACATGGAAGCACTAGATTGTCAGGCGGGTGGATCCAAGCAAGTCTTAGACACTGCCACACCTCTGAAGGTGCAAGCTGGGCTTGCTAAGGATGCCGGGGAAGCTGTTCAGCCCCTTTGCGAATCAGTGCTCGATGAAACGGCAGTCGCGAATCTTCGAGCTGGCACACCACTGTCCAGTCCGAGGAACGTCTTCTTCAAGCCAACACCAGTGCAGGCCAAGCGAATGCTGTCAACTTTACTGTCTTCTTTGTCCTCTCTTTCTCTAAGAAGGAAAGGCTGAGAATCACTCTCATCTGGTGCAAGGGTTTGGAGCAACCTCAGACGGAGACTCTTCGAAAGGGTCAGCTTGAATGACACACCTTGCTCTTCCGATTGCAAGGTGACCAAGAACTTGGGACGAACCTTCATGCTCACCATCATCCGCGGGGTGCCTCGTCCTCCTCCGGAAGGACTTGCATATGATTAATTCCGTGTAATCTATCTGCATCTTGCAACCATTTCGACACTTCAGAAGGCAGAGGTTTGACGAGGACGCTGCTCGTTACTCGAACAGTCCACCTGCGTACTGTGAGTTTTGCGTTCAGGTGCCGTTCGGTGCCTTTCAGTGCTTGATCTACGAGGTGCTGAAGGCCATGGGGATAGCAGGGCCATCAGTGGAGTTTTCTGCAGCTGGTTTTGAAACCTCCACAGCCCATGCCTCTGTGAGGATCGAACGCCGGGCCTACTTGAGAGCATCGGGGTGTCCTGTTTGCAAACATTGAACTGTCCATTTTTCTGGCGACATCAGAAGCCGACATTTCATCATAGCATGGGGGCATCAGGGCTAGTGTAGGACCTCACCGCACAGATCTCGAGGTCCCCATCTGGTGCGAGCCCTTCATCTGGGGCGGCATCGCTGGTTTCTGCACGGGCTACTTGACAAACCCTCCGGACAGCTGTGCAGGGTAAGTGAGTCGTGGCGAACTGCTGTAGGTCTTTGATTGAACACGGGTAACTGGAAGCCTTGAAGCAGAAAATGTTGCAGCCGGGGCTGCGCCTCGAGGCCCAGCATTGCTCTTGCCAGCCTCTGAGCTCGGCAGGACGTCGTCATGCAGCGCCTGGCCATCGACTCCAGCTCCAGCAACGATGACCCGGACCTCGGCTGTTGTATCACGGAGAAGATTTTTCAAGATGTGAAGTCGTGCTGAAGAAGGAGATCTTTCCAGCTTCCCCGGGTTGTGCCGACCGGCAGGACAAGCCTTTCAGCGTCCAAGAGACTTGGGAGGAAATTGTCCAGGCGACGCAGAAGGCTCGATGGTCCAAGTTGGAATTTTGGGAGGCTGAGGCTTTTCGATGCAGTTTACTAAGATAGCTACAGCTGCTCCGCTGCAAGTCGTGGTACTTGCTGGCGAGAGGATTTGCAGATGCACTTCTCGGACATGACTGACTGCGGCAGTAGCTTAGCATAGCTTCATGCAGTTGCAGTGACCCCTGCCAGATATTGGAAAACGAGGGGCCTGCAGGCTTCGCCAAAGGCGGGCTTGAGAAGCTTGGACTTGGACGATTTCCAGCCATCCCCACGACAGTTAAAGAAAGCAAGTGTTGGCGGCCGGCATCCAAGGAACGCCCTCTACTTCTTACCCGAGGCGATGGTCTGGTTTGGGGTCTACGAGGGCCTCAAGGGTGTGGCAAACAGAGCCTCAGCAGCAGTTAGCATGCTCTGGAGTTGAGGGGTTCGTGCACAACGTCGCTTGTAGTAGCCCCAAGTACCCCCAGCTGAAAGCAGCCGAGGCGTCTCGCAAGCCTTTTAAAATTACAGGTTCGTGTGTGAGGACGCACGCGTCTCTGCACTTTATCGTTTCGCCTTATGCAGACCTCGGCAAACTGCCCTTGCTGCAGAATTGTGTTAACCGTGTGTTCTGCCACGTCTCTGTCCCCACACAGACCTGCACGACCGTAGACTCAGCTCTTTATTGCAATGCTTTAGTATAAGACTCTGCATTGATCAAAGCGCGGCTGAACCACGGCTTAGCCAAGCAGTTTTACTAGTTTGGCAAAGCCGTGCGGAGTGGTGCATCTGGGAACGGCTGCGGATTCGGTTGATCGGTGTCTACGCATTTCTTCGCACGGCATTGCTGAACCTGCACAGAAACCGGAGTGAGCTTCCGTCCTCAAATTGTCGTATCGCAAAGACAGAAGCCTACTTTCTGTGGGTCCCACCACACGTTTGAAGCGCGGAATTTTCGCTGGATCTGCCTGCCGAGACGTCAGCATTGAAGTCGGAGGATGTAGGAGGTGCTTAAGGAGCATTGGAGACTCTCAGCAGGATGGGATCGCATTTCTCACACATTCACCGGATGCATCGACTTTTAATGCCAGTTTGGGCAAGAGTTGCGCGAAGGGCTCATGTTTGACGGGCCGAGGGGTGACTTCAAGCAAGAATCATCGTTTTGGTTAGCATGGCGGCGAACTCCTGCCATCCCGCGTGCACAGTTTTACTTGCTACTGTTATCCCGCATAGCACGATGCGAGGGCTTGCGTATGCAACTTGTGTACAGTGTAAATACGAATTCAGTCGCAGTGCAAACTCGACCAGACAGATGCGCTTCAATATTGACAGAGGCGTATGTGAGCTAGCTTAGCCTTCAGCTGAACTTTCAGTTTTCGTCAGTCAACTGAAGGCTGCAGACTTCTGGTGGGACGATGAAAGCCAGCAACATGAGGGTGCTAGATCGACACCCTAGCCGTGGAATGAGACGCGACTTGCATCGGCATGTCCAGCCGAGCAACCCCAAAAAGCAACCGGACCAACCCGGCTGCTTTTCTTGGCAACAAGATTTTCCACAGTATCGCAAAGTCTTGTTGGCTCGCGACCACGGACGGGATTTCCACGATTTTCTTTGCTTGGTGGCACCAGGCAGAAGCTACTTGAACGTTTCCAGACCTGTTGAAGCAGTCCACAGTCGCATTGTAAGAGGCTCTTCGTGTCGGTGCCTGCCACGCATGGGAACAGAGAACACCGGGCAAATACCCTGAGTTGTGATTGGTGCTGCCTGGAAAACTGTCGGTCGTGGGTCGTGTCTGAAGGCTTTGCAAACTTTGGAGTGACATGATGCGACATGCTTTGGAATGCTTTGCTTGCAAAACAGAAGGAGCTTTCCGAAGATGACGAGACCGTCGAGGCTGCAACCGGAAGTCGCCAAAGCCGCGACCCCAATTCAAACGTGCCAGCATGGAGATAGACGGTTCCCGCAGCATTGCAATCTGCCGTGTCAGTGGCGGTATATGGCGGTAGTGCAGCGCTCCCATCGAACCACGGCTTGTTGGCAGCAGTGGTCCACTACCTCGATCCCTGTCATCTCCCCACAACTCGAATGTTATCAACATACACGTTCGACAGATTCACAACGGTCTTACTCGGTGCATCCGAATGGTGCACTTTCTGGCTTTGGCGCTGATGTCGTCGCGATCATGATGTCTGCGGCTTTGACCGTTCCAGCGCATCACCTTACACTCGTGCCCGGTGGCCATAATTACGCACGGAGTCGCTCTTGCAGAATCCACACCTGGACTGCCATCTCCACTCGGTTGAAGCCTCTTTGACGTCTCAACCATCACCCAATGATCAATCGAATCACCCCGAAAGACTCATCCAGTGACGCCATGTGATGGTATGCAGTGTGCGTGCGCGCGTCAGGCGTACTCGGAGTTGGAGGTCTGTTCAGGTGATTCCAGGAACACCCCTGTGCACCTCTGTTTCATGTTCTGTGTGAAGTATGAGTTGAATTTTGAATCGGTATTGCGAAACACTTTGCAGCGGTTTTGAGCTAGACAACCAAAGGACGATATCTTGCGAATGTCACAGCCGCTTTGGGCTCCTTTGCGCAGCACCGCGAGGTGCAGTACAGGCAGGTGCATTGATGGAGCCCATCTGCAGAGTCAGATCGCTTGCATGGGTCTCATTGCTATCGTGCCTCGCTGTTGCTGTGGCCGACGCAAACCACACGGCCCCAGCGCAAAAGGCCTGGGGCAGCTGCCAGGCCTTTGGTTGTTCCAATGACTACAGGCCCCACCAGAGCTGTCAGTGCAACGAGAAATGCGAGGGCTACGGCAACTGCTGCAACGACTTCAAGGCTTGTTCTGGCAGCTGTCAGTCTTTTGGTTGCCCTACTGACTTCCAGGCAAATCGTGTCTGCCAATGCAACTCCCAATGCGAAGCCTTTGGGAACTGCTGCGCAGACTACAAGGCCTGCAAGGCATCCCCGGCACAATCTCCAGCCAAGCCTCAGGCCCCCGTGGCACAACGAGGACAGGGTGCAAGTTGCCCAGGCACGATCGAGTTGCGTGGACATGGCTCCATGCAGCTGTCGAATGCATACTGGAACAAGCCCTGGGACCCCGCTGGCGAAGTGAGGCTTCAAAATGGAGCCATCGAAGTCTTCATGAAGGGAAGGACTTACTTCTCAGACGTTTGCCAGCCTGGTGAATTCTCCAATGGTCACTACAGCAGCCTGCAGCTGCTGGGCAAGCGCATGCGCTGGACCACAGATGTCTCCAATGCCGAATGTGGCTGTAACGCTGCCGTCTACCTTGCATCTCTGCCTCAGAATCAGGAGGTTTCTGGCTGTGAGGACTACTACTGCGATGCAAATAGCGTCTGTGGGGTGCGTTGCACTGAGATCGATCTGCAAGAGGCCAACAAGCACGCCTTCCACTCTGTGCTGCATTTGGCGCAGGATGGCTCCGGCAAGGGTTCTGGGTATGGCGGTGGAAGTACGTGGAACTCACACCGGGATTGGACTCGGCAAGAGTATGGGCCTGGGGGGCGCTGCATCGACACACGCCGGCCTTTCCAGGTCGAGGTTGGCTTCCCCACGGATTCACGGGGCCGTCTGCGTGCCTTGACCACGCGCCTCTCGCAGAGCGGAGGCCGTTGTGACTTGTCAGCTGAGATCTCCGCAGAGAGTTACCAGTTTGGGGGAAGTTCCAGTGTGGAGGAGCTCACTCAGGCCCTGACTCGGGGTATGACGCCCATTGTGAGCTATTGGAGTGCGGAAAACATGCTTTGGATGGATGGCAAAGGAGCGGATGGGCTCGGCCCCTGTGCCCGGGATGAGCCGCAGCGCTGCGGCGACTCCGCGAGGTTCTCGGACTTCGCCGTCGAGAACCTCTGGGAGCGACTGATTTAATTAGACTCTGCGAGATGCCCCCGTTTTAACGGTTTTTGTCATAGTGGCAGCACGGCCACGGGCCATGCTCTTGCCTCTGCTTAGCACAACTGCAAAAAAAACGGCAGTGCAATCCCAATCTTGGCTAATTTTGACAGCCCTGTGCAGCTGACCAATTCGGTGCCTCGCGCACACTGCAAAACGTGCAGACATCCTCGTATAGACGATAAAAATCTGCATTCAAAACTGAGTGCCTCGTGCATGCAGAATGCCCACTGACACCGCATGTGCACGTTGACTCTCGTCTTGATTGATCGACATGCCCAGGCCCCGCCAGCCAGAAACTTCAACCTAGCGCTGGGGAGGCGTGCCCTTCCCGAGTGACATCGGTGCACCTATGCGCCCCATGCATATTTAAGCCCCAGTGTAAACGGGTTGGCGCTGCGGCAGGAATGCTGCCGGTCGTGCCTCTTGCTGTGCTGTTCTCATCTCATGAGCTCAGGCAACCGGCAGCTCAAAAAGCAGCCGCTTGAGGAGCGAGACTCGCACGGAGGGGCCCCTATCAGAGGCCAGTTCGGGCTTTGGCTAGAGTCAGAGAGGTGCCCTTGAAGCTAATCAGTCTGCCGCGCTTGGCTCCAGGCGCGCCCACACAGCGCTGGTTCCCGAGCCAAGCGTGCGCGGCATGCAGAAAAGCAGGAGAACCTGGGAACGCTGGGCAATGGCATCGGTTGAACTTCCTATGACTCCTTGTCTTGTGTGTTCCCACCTCACAGTAAAAACATGCAGAAAAGCCAAGGGCTTGATCTAGGTGGCATGGCCAAAGAACTTCTCATTGCAGCACGGGGCATGTGCAGTCATGGTCGCTCTCGTGCCACTGAAGACGGCGGCCATGAATGGTGAAAATAAACTTGTGCAAAAATTCACGGACGACGTGGGTGTTTGTGTACGCAGCTGGTGTACACTAGTTCACTCGTTCCTAGCCTCGGAAACCAGGCTTTCAGGCAGTGCTTGTGAGCACAACTTCGATGTTTTGCAGCTTCTGTTGTGCTCATTCACAGATTCAGGACACTGCATGGTTGCCAGAATCGTTTTACCTGTTCGGTTTGCCAAGTTTTATATCAAACGAGTCTCGGACATCCGAGTGCTCCTCGCGTGGTAGTGCCCTATTGGCAGAGACTCTTTTTCGGTCGGCCCCCAGCGATACATCAAGAGTCGCGGGTGGACTATTTCAAGAAAGAGCCTCCGCAAAAGGTTCGCGCAAGTAGCCTCGAAAGGAGTGCTTTCAAGAGCATGAGGCCAAACCTGTACCCAGGAATCGGCTTTGCAACAGCACTACGGAAACAGCCGCCAAGGGCAAAGGGAATGCACATTTCGTGCAAGTTTGCAAATTTCCGGCCAACAAGTGGGAATGGCGCCTATAAGACTGTGGGAGTTTGGACCTCAAGGTTTATTTTGGGAGTCCGATGCGGGGAATGGACGGTATTTCCCTAGCATGCGCTATCCGCTGTCTAGTCGCACCTCATCGATGCCTTTGATAGAAGTGCACTGTTAATCGACGCGGAAGTCTCAACGTCCCATGATTCGATCCCCGCGCGCGTGTGTGTGTGTGTGTAACTTTTGTAACCAAGGAATTCCAGTCTAACACAGCCAGGTCACAGAGTGGGATACTGCATCTGGCCAGTGCATGTCGGTGATGGAAATGGCAGCCAGGCAAAGCCACAAACCTGGTAAGTGGGGATGATTTTCAGGCAGATAGGAAGGTACGATGTTTCAAAGCTCAGATTGGAGACCTGCACACATGTGCGTCCTCATGTGGATCCTGGGGGATCTTCCAGGAGGCGGCGAATGCAGCAGCATCCGCTATGGCGAAGGCGGCTGAGGCAGGCCCTGGCTTTCCGAGCCTTCCGGTGGCTCTCGGCTGTCCCTTTCTATGTGCATGGAAGTGTCGTGTGTGGTTTGAAGGCGAGCTTCGAGGCACTGCGGGGCACGGACAGCTCGGGAATCACCGCAGAGGCTCCAGCCTCAGCAGCCCCCTGAGATCCCCTGAGCCCAGGGCCCAGCCTTTCGGCCTTTGCTCCTCCTTCTGCTCTGTCCGAGGCACTGCGGGTGGCCCTGAAGCGATACAGGATCCCGGCAGAGGCCTGTTTTTCTACTACTGCAGTCGTGTAAAGCAGTACCAGATCCCGTGCCACGAGGTTTGCAAGCCTGACGAGGTCGAGGAGATGCTGGCAGTCGGGCTTGAGGAAGCCGGAGGAGGCACCGGAGCTTTGCTCCGTTGCGCAAGGATGATGCATTCGACCGAACTGCCAGAAGCTGGACCCCTGACCTTCTTCGCTTTCAAGAAACTCTTCAACTCGCTCAATCTCAAGGCATTTGGCGGGAGCTGTGTCGGGACGCTCGTCCTTGCGTGTGCCGAATGCAGGTGACGCGCGAAGGCCGTGTTTGGTGAGAGCTCTCCATACAACCTGCTTCACTCTGCTGCTGAAACCGGGGTGGACACTAGCCACTAGCTTCTAGACGCATGCGAAGATGGGCCGGCGGACATCTGCTTCCAATTCCGCGGCCCCCGTGTTTTGTGGAGCTTTGTATCCCCGCACAGTGCGAGGTCGTCCTGTCTGTGCCGGCCGAACCAGCACACGCATAAGCTTGGGGTCGGGCATCTTGCTGCAGGCACCACGAATATTCCTCTTCCCAGCACAAAGGATGGGCTGTACCAGCCCTCGTTCGAGAGGATCTGCTGCTTGTGCATCCGTCAGATTCCAAAGCGGAAAGGAGCTAAAGGGGCTGCTCGTTCGGTGCTCGTGTGCCCTTGAACACCCCTCTCAGACAGGTCCATCGCCTCCATGCTTTTCATAGTTCTCGTTGGTGCGTGACTTTTGGGCTTACAGCGACACTGGGAGTGGTGACGTCCCCGCTGCCTTCTGCAGCTGTGTGTGGCTTGGCGGAACCTCGTTTTGCGAAGATGCTGTCTGGTCTGGCTGCTGGCTTCCGGTTAATGTTGCATTCTTCCGTTCGTGCTTTCCAAACTGCGAGAGCTTTATTTGTAAGATCAGGTGCCTTGGCTGTGAGGACGCCGAAGCCGACTACGGAAAGGGGTTGCTGCTACAGCCTCATAGACTCATCAGTCATGGGTTCCGTCGTTTATCGTTGTGTCACTTCACTAGGGTCAGTTTGCCCAAGGTTTTGGTCGTGCGTGTGGAGATCTTCTTGAGACACGAAAAGTGCGAAGCTCGGCAGCCCCGATGTCACGTCCCAAAGCTGGTATGGTACAATGCAGCTAGCTGCTAGCTGACTTCCCTCATCAGTGTGGCCACCAGAAGCCCCGAGTAAGAACCCCATTTCCGCATTGGCATGAGGAACCCCGAAAACCTTGTGCCATGTGCTTGTGATGGCTTCCATGGCACAACAGGCAATCTACTCCACTCTTCAAACGCCCTCCAATCTACTCTCCGCTTCGTGCGTCGCCGGGCAGTGTTGGCCCATTGGATGTCAGCGAGGCGTGAGACGGAAAGGCTCATGACATGATTTGCAAAGGGCTTTGTGCTGTGTGCATTGCTTGTCGATTTCCCACAGCAAGAAAGGCCGGGAGACCAAATGCAGCAGCATCCGAGTCAAGGGTCGGGTCTGCCATGAGGGAGTCTGTCATGACAGTTACGAGAGATGCTTTGGTGATGTTGCGGAACTCTCGAATCCTTCTGTTAATCGGCACGAGTCTTGCTGTGCAAGAGTTCAAGGTGCTAGGCCATGGCGCCGACGCGGCTCTACGTTGGCAACCTGCCCAAAGAGCGTCCAGCCCAGCCGGCATCCTTGATTCAACTGAAAGCTTGCCAGGCCATCCACATTGTGACATGGCTGAGGGGCGCCGCTGGGTCATGCACTGTACTGTTTATTCTTGCGTCGCGAGCCATCTGGCTGATCTGTAGGCAGGACGAACTTGCGAACTAAACCCGCGAACCACAAGCCAGCAAGAAAGCACATGTCGCAGCACAGCAAAATGTTCATAATTGAAACTCACATCAGAAGAAAGGGGTTGACTTAACCGGCAGAAACCACCCGCCGGAGCCGAATCATCAAGCTGCCAGCACGTTACTCTCGCACAGCCCGATGCTGGCATGGCACCCCAGCCTCCGGACCCGTCCAATCGCCTGGTGGGTAGGCAGGGCTTTGAGGATTTGAGGGACTGCAGGGAGTGCGACTGCCTTTGCTCAGGCTGCAAAAGGGGAGACTTTGGACCGAAGCTCATGCTGGGGAAATCCGCAGCTTTTGCCCTGAAGTGAACGGCTAAGCCTAAGCAGCCAGTGGCAACAGCACAGCACATCACCGCACATCACCGCACATCACACTACACCCACCACGCCGCAGCAAACGGGGAGGGCTTCGTCCTGGGTGCTTGGCCATGGAGGTATCGGCTCCCAAGTCCAGCTCAAAGCCCTTGCGGTTGAATCTGGGTTTGCCGGAATGGTTGACAAAGCCATTGGTCGAGCAAGGTCCCCTTCGCCGGGTGATCCAGGCGATTTCGCCCTTGTTTCTTCCGCTGGAGGTGCCTGCGATGTGGTTCTGGCTTAAGCTTCCTCCAAGGATCCGTTACGTTCTTATGATGACTTTGTGGAAAATATGGCTTATCCTGCACAAAGCGCTGCCGGCTTGGCTGGTGCAACGTGGGATGGCGGATGAGCTTTCCATCGAGGCCCACGCCCTCGGGAATGTGCTCTACTGGGTTCGGCTTATCCCTGTGGATGTGCGGAGGATGCGCTTCAGCCTTGCTCAGCTCGACTCCAGCTGCCCCCCCTCGCCTTCACCAAGCTTCGTACGAGAGGTCATATGCCTGCCACACCAAGGAGTCAGTGGCACCTACATACACGTGCCGTATGCTGGCAAAGCAGACAAGCCCAAGGTGATGTACTGGATCTTCGGGGGTGCCTTTGTTGGTGGAACTGTTCAGAGCAGCATGGGCATTGCCGAGCAGCTCGCCTTGCGAATTGGTTGTGACATCTTCATGCTCGACATGAGGTTGTATCCAG